CCCATTCCTTCAATATGATGCATAATGGACAATGTGAATCATCCCTTTTATTAGAGCTTTGAGAACACGTCCTCATTTTTTGGCCTTTTCTGCCTGAATAGTGGGAAATGGCAGCCCCCTTTCCTGCCCTGAAAGCGTCGATAGCCTGCTGTGCGCTGTCCTTTACCTGCCGAGCTCCCTTTGAAGCGGTGGCTCAGGATATGCTCCAGAATAGCTGCAAAATTGATAAACTCCTCAGACGAGTCATCGATGGGTTCAGCCGTGTACTTCTCCAACAGAGTCTTCACAGAAAACCTGGCCACAACACACATCACGCAGTACATGAAGCTAAAAGCACATCTCAACCAAAGGCAGGGATCTCCCATTATGAAATTATCATCAGCAAATGTAATCACACCATATCCACACGCAACACTGTTAGTAAGACGGCTCAGGTATATTTCGAATTTCTGATCATGACATATAAAAAAGTATATACTTTTCTCCTGGTTTTAACAGAATATGCCACAAAAGGGAGAAAAAGTATTCAATAACAAGGAGGGTACAAGTTTGATTGGGCAAGTGACATATCAATCAATTGTCCTGAACCAATGTCATAGCAGCCCTAGGCCAGTGGGCCCTCCCTTATACCCAGCCATGTTTTCCAAGCAAATTTTTTTTCATACTGGTGCTAAAATGTAATCATACTTTTTTTCTCTCAGCCGATTTGGACGCGTAGTAATTCATATCGCGGCACATAATTCTCGTGGTATACTTTGAAAAACACCTGGAAGTAGAGCGGGCAAAAGTATTAGGATGACCATTTCCGGCATGTCATACAGCACTAGTGAAGAGCAACATTACACAGTCATACAGGAATTGTTCAGAGGTCTGACATCTTCACAAATTTCACCTCAATGACAGAGGTGGTCCCCAATTCCCCTTCCCTTCAATTCCTCTTGCAATATTTTCTAAAGCTTTGTAATGCCCCGACTCACAGAAACAGCTAAATTAACGTCCATCAGCCTCAGTCACGGAGTGTACAGGTAATAAGTATCATCATTTATTACTAGGTGATGTAAAAATCATGAAATCAATTGTAATAATGTAGTTCCTGTAATCTTACGCCTGCAAGCTCGGATACGCTGACATAATGATAATGGTGAGGTGGACTCGATGTACCGGAATCCAGTTTCCCAGTCATTTCTCATCAGTACTGGACGTGGACAGCGCTGAAAATCTGAAAATTCCATTCGCGACTCAGTCGTAAATCTCAACATACAAACATGCTCAATCGTTGTTCATTTCAACCCGAATTTGATTCTACCACTTAGCAGCTCAGTGCTTATCCTTAGCGGTTGAATGAGGTCTGCTTAGTTGATATTGGAAAGAAAACCTACGATTCCAGATATCCAGGAACGTGATCGGTTGCCAGTGATCTAAATAGAAAACACTGATTTATTTTGTGAATTTTCTGTTTTTGTCAAGCCGGACTGATCGCATCGACATGATATGCATAAAACTTGGCAACTGGCAGGCAAAGCCTATATGCATATTAATGATGTGGCTTTGTATAAAAGCGTGTCTGTCACGTGCATCCGGTCGGAACAGCCCTGCTACGTTTTTTTACGGACTGAAAATGCTTCTGCTCCACACAGAAAGTACAGCTTTAATCCCATTCGCTTATTTTATTAGTTTTAGTACAGAGCCCCCCTAATCATCGGCTGTCGTGAGCAACAATGTCTCCTTCAGCCATGCCACCGTGTTCCCATGACAACAAGACAATTGTTCTACTGTCCAAGATAACCCGACAGCACTCTCTGACTGCCACTGTCTATTTACATGTCATACGGAATCCATTAGGCCTACTAGCTTTCGAGAGCCAAGATCTATTTGCAACCAAACAGAAACAGCAGCGTGTTGTTCAGAGTCTTGAATATATTAATTTTGTCCCAACAGCTTAGCACTTGAACTAATTCCGTCATTCAGGCGAATACTCGGCTATATTTATCCATCAACCCGGCGCAGGGTGTTGTAGGTGACTGTGTAGGCCTAGCTACCCAGTCCGTCGTGAGTGATGCGCTTAAAGGTAGCCACATGTTACCACATAAAATTGATCACCTTTTGGCAATGCAAGTATATTGTTGCGTCTCTCTATTTTTCCGTTTGGTGTGGCATAGCATATGTTGTATTCTACCAGGCTAACAAGAGTGGTCCATCTAGAATGTTATGTCCTTGTCCCTATAAGGTTGTCGTCATAGCAACGATACCACCCCGAGCATCCTTGTAAAAGATGACATACACGCAGCCCCGTCGAACTGGCCCGCAGCGTATTCCATAGCGGCAGTTTTAGAGGATATAGCGTGCAACGCCCTTTCTAAAAACATAACAACGGGAAAACAACAGCCATAAAAAATCCTATTATTTCTGAGCCGAAATACATCACCTTTAACAAGGACAGGGGCTCGACTCTCCTGCTCGGGAGAGCTGCCTCGTGATGTGTTCTTCGCATCAAACTGGGCCGATTAATGAAACAAATGACATTAGAGGTGTACAATATGTTCACACATACAAATTAACCATAGAATGCATGAATAATACTTTAGAACGATATGGCTTCCAAGGAAATGTTTTCTTTGTTTTCTCTACAATTTTGAAACCGCAGCAGGCCCATCTCGTGAGCTAACCAGCCAATCCAGCCGTAGATACACCCTGTACCTTCTCATGGCCGTTTTAAACAATCTGCATCATATCATGATGCCGTTACCTGGGCAATTTCGAATTGAACAATCCATTGCAATATATAGCTGTCGGTACGTGTGGCCGAAAAGGCAATTTCATCTAACGAATATCGAACATCTAGCAAAGCCATATCCAATTGATGACTTGTCGATTAGGGCCTACCTGCAAACTGTGATGAGATTTTTGCGTTCCACGGCAACGCTCCGGGAAGATGCTTTTTTAGATGACAAACCCATAGCCATTGCTGACTGAACGCAGCTCGTTTCCATTCAGAGGCGGCTCGAAGCCCACAGTAACCATAGACGGCGAAACCCCTCCCTTGTTACGCCATACACAAACTCGCTGGAAGGGCAGATTCCGTGCGAAAAGATAAAGGGCATCCAGACCAACGGATGGAATCAATTGAACTCTAAGAGTGTCCGTTCAGACAGCTTATCTCACATTCCTGGTCAACTCCACCCGTTGCGGCAGACCACAGAACGATAGGTGTCAATACTTCCACCAAATGACAGAGCTCTCTGTTTGGACTCGCAATCTCTTTTTTGCCGACACAACTGGGCTTGCTTTGCGTCCTCTGTCTCCACTCCTCCCACCCCTCCCCTCTGGCTTAACTGATGATCTCAGCGCGCAGACGGCGCTGGATGGCGAGCCAGAGAAATGGCAAACACACGTCCCCTGACATGATCACCTTATTCAGGCATCATGTCGCAATATAACATTATACAGCCGATATATTCCATGAGAATGGGTAGTATAATGTTTTACTCGTCTAGTTACAAATTTAACATGTAGTCTGTTTTGTGTTACTGATTGCCCATCCTGAGCAATGACCTCTTCTCCAAGAACAGCACGCGATTAAATGTTTGATTTTTTTTTTTTTAGTATTTTATTTCGGAGCGCAAGTTTTACCTTAGATTCTGTATGCAGAAGCCACAACATCAAAGACAAATCAACATGAACAGTCAGTTAGTCGAGTGTTGGGCCTCTACAAGCTGCCAGATCAGTCTAACGCCCTGGCATGGAGTGAATAAGTGAGAAACCTTACTGAAGGAATACTGTCTTCCCAAGATATTCCTTCATTTGGTCTTTTAGTGATGGTGACAGAGAATGCTGTCTGACACTTTGTTCCAAAATCTCCAATAAGAGTTCAACAGGATGGCTGTGGAGGCGGTGGGATATGCTCAGGATCATCTTCTCACATACAAAACCATGTGGTGACACCGTGTGCCCTGAGAGGCTTGGGCCATTGTCATCCTGGATGAGACCATTCCCATCATGGTAGGCATGCTTAATTGCAGAATATTACGGCGAGTGCATGGAATAACTTTGCGTTTATAACTTAAATAACTCAACAGAACAGAGCAACTTTCCCCCAAAAGTTTTAAAATCTGCCTTGCGCTTGCTGGTTTATCCAAAATTGCCTACTCAACCCTAGTGTGGGTAAAGGCTTTTGAAGCCTGATTCTCCTAATTAAGGTCATAAGCAAAAACTCTAGGGGTTGATTAGTACAGTAACCACAGTGGCCCTTTCTGAATAAGGTTTGATACCCCTGGTTAAGCCCATACTGAGTGAATAAAAATGCAGAAAAGACAGAGGTAGTAGGTTTAATCATGATTCTCTCACAGGAAGTGCAAACCCGTCCTTGGTGTGGACACAAGCATAAGTTTAGTTTTGACTTCGCAGTAGACCTAATACTATATCCACTACTTGTCGCATCTCACAAGTAAAACGAGTCTGGTGATTGAGATGAAAATATAGGTTACATTTCTCCCAGGCCCCGGAAAAGCTACATGTCTGTGTAGGGGAAAAAATATAATGGAGTGGAGAAGAGTATTTACAGTCAGAATGGATTGAATAGTCGCAACTTTAGGTCCATGCATGTATTCCTAGCTACAGCCTTGCAACGGTTACGGTCTCCAGCTAATTTTATATTCACCAGTCGCTTTGCTACTTTGAACATGCACCAAATGGCCTGAATTAAGTGGAAAATCCCTCGTGTGGAGTTATTTTTCAAGGTATAAGATATACTCAATTTCATAGAAATCTTATCTCTACAGCACACAGTGACTACCAAGCTGTTCAGTGATTCTAACAGATAGGCAAGACCCTATCTTTGTTTTTCTTAGGGAAGGGGGGTTCAACCCTTCAAACCCCCCCCCCACCCCGAACACAGCTGAACTGTTCAGTCGACCGAGCGACCTGCTTCCACTGACTAAGGAGGGAGATCCCAAGTCACGATTCCTTTGACACGTGTGGCAACTAGTCCCTGCTTCTGGGCAGCAAGGTGGCACAGTGGTGAGCGCTGTTGCCTCGCAATAAGGCAGTTCTGGGTTCGAGCCCCAGCTGACTCTCTGTGTGGAGTTTGCACGTGCTCCCTGTGTCTCCGGGTACTCCCCACCCAGAAAAACATGCGTTATAGGAAATCTCCAACCAGTTCCCCCGACAAAGGAACTGGCTTTAGAACTGGAGTTGGTCCCCGGGCGCTGCTCTGTGGTTGCCCACTGCTCCTAACTATAGGATGGGTCAAAAGCAGAGGATAAATTACCCCATGGGGTTCAATAAAGTATATCTAAATCTAGATCTATCTTCTTTTACTCTGTGCAGTCACACCACTGGTCACTGCCTGTTCAGTCAGCATTAGATAGCATATGGTGTATGTTCAAATAACCTGAAAATGTACCCTTGTTTCCCCTCATCTCTTCTACCCATAATTGCAGATAAAAGTTGAATGGAGGTAAAGGGATGTTGAGGTTTTTGAGTATTGGAATAAACCCAGGGTGAAGTAGAGCTGAATTATTGGCATTTTCTTATCGACGAACTGACGTCATTGTCAATGTGTTTCTTATGTGGGGAAAAAGATGGCTGCCGTGATTGTCAGACAGAGGGTCCATTAACATCTTTCAGTTCCTTCAGTTCATCAATACAACTGCTTTCTCCTGCATGATCCCTTAGCTGAAAAACACCTGGCCAAGTGTGCAGCCAGAAATTGGGACAATACAATACTTCCCCGCTCCACCCCATGACAGTCCCGGCAGCCAACTTGATTTCCAAAATAAACAATGCATTCGGGAATGATGTCACTTCAAAGATCGGGAAATGCCAATCATTTGGCTCTCCTCCATCCTTTGTTAACTAATGCTGACCCCTGAGGCCCATTCCTATTGCAGCGAGACAATGCCCTGCATTCACAGAGAGGGGCTAATACATGTTTTGTCGACATTGATGCAGTAGAGTTTGAATGGCCAAATGGAAAGTGAACTTTGAGCCAGGCCACATACTGCTCAACCTTACAAATGCTCTTCTGGCTGTAATGGGAGCAAATCCCTGCATTAATGTTCCAGCTTGAAATGCAAAGTTCCCAAAGAACAGTGGAGGCTGTTATAGGACCAAAGAGTGAACAACTTCACATCAGCAACCATGATTTTGGAATAAGTTGTCGGATGAGACGTGTCCACATACTTTTGGCCATGTAGCATATCAAGCACATTTACAGCAGATCTGTAACTGTCACTCATAACAAACGCAACAGGTGAAAATAAAATTACTGTTGTACATTCAATTTTTATATTTGTGAAACTGCCTTTTGTTTGGAGGACATTTGAGTCTCCTGTCCCTTTGCTCCAGTTAAAATCATAGACTGTATAAAAAGATGGACGAAGCAACCATGGCGTCACCCATTGGTTTCAGCATACCATTTAGAAAGCCTCGATTCTGGCAATTTGAACAGCGCCATTTTGTCATTTTGAAGCTGGATGTGATTCTATTTGGACGAGAGCATGAATTGAAGATCCAGGGAGGAGTGAGGGGTGGATCTATGGGTGGGTCTGACCGTATCTAACGAGGACCAGAGGATAGCCACGCCCCTAAAGCATATTCAGGCTTTATCCTTTATTCTAGTCTATTTGGGACCATAATTTACAAAAATGAACATCATGATATATCGAAGGAGACCTGAAACTTGCAATTGATACCATAAAATAATGTGGAAAATCATTATTGAAATAATCAGGTGGGAAAGTAGGGTCATTTTCTCATAGACTTCTATAGCGTTGAACTTCTTTCTGCAACCACCGACGTCGCCATCTGCTGGCCATTAAATAGAATGCAATTTTTAGGAATTTCCTCATTGGCTTCACTTTTCAGACCTGGGAGCTGTGTCCATCTTTTTATACAGTCTATGGTTAAAATGGCGCCATCACGTGGTCTCTGGCTGGTTCTCCAGGCGGTTGGCGAGGATGCGAGACACGCGCTGCAGCGCCCCCTCGTGTTGGGGGGACTCCCTGCACACGCGGTGCAGGATGGTGCCGATGGTGTGCAGTCGCTCGTCCAGCCGCTGCATGGCGGGCTCCAGGGCCGACTCGCTCGAGGTGACGAAGGTGTATCGCCCCTCCCGAACCATCTGCAGCTGCTTGGCCCGAGACTGCAGGGCGATGAGCCGTGACAGATTCTGAAACAAAGAGACGTGCAGAGGACAGTGCTAAGAGACACAGATTCGCAAATAGAGATGAGGGATCATTAAACAAGCATGAAACGCTCAGATCCCCCACCACCGGATGGCTGATATCTGGCCTGGAAAAAAATGCGGTGGAGGGATGGACAGACAGACAGAAAGGAGGATAGAAGTATGAATAGGCACATGTACCCAATATAATGGAGGCATATATTAGATTAAGTTGAGAAATATTGAACGATTCAGGAGCTCAGACCCAGAGAAGAACGAGATGGCTGATATCTGGCCTGGAAACAAAACTCAGTGGAGGGACAGACAGACAGACAGACAGGAAGTAGGACGGAAGAATGAATCGGCACATGTGCATAATAAGATGTAACCACATATTAAATGTCATTGAGAAATACTGAACGGTTTAGGTATTCTGGTCTGGTAATGAAGCATGACGGCCAGACGACAAACAGATGGACAGACGGACGGACATGCGGAAGGACGATGCTCATTCCTAAATTGCCCCTTCCACTTTGTGGAGCGGATAGAAAGTGGCAGAAAGGTTTAGACATCAAGTGTTCACTGCAGGCATAACACAATCGAGACACAGTTAGCAAAACTGCCTAATACCCTCACCCACATTGTTAATGTATGTGAATGAGGCTCAAATGTGTCCATGAGGATATCCCAGTATCTCACACTGGGCAAAAACACTGGTTTTCCGGAGATATCACGACTCGGATATGCCCGTATATTATCTGTATCCGGGGATGTACAGATTGATAAGCTCTGGATACTGGTTTGTGCATGTCTTGTATCCGGGAGTATCCCAACTCCGGATTGGGACTGTTCTGATATGCGTCGTATCCGGGCTCCGTACACACACCCGGATACCAGACGTGTTTGAGGTATCCTGGGGAAAATACCTCCGGATACCTGTCAGTATCTGGAGCATATACGAACTCCGGATACGTCCCAGGAAATACCATCCATATCCGGGCTCATGATATCTCCGTATATTTTCTACCACCCGCATCCCGTCCAGGTTGGCATTTATGCTTATGCCCATTATGCTCCATAATATTGATATCACTTAAGATATAGACTTCGGTAGTTTTAAGGGTTAATATGAAAACGGATTAAAGTTTTAACTTCTAACAATTACATCTCATTGTACATGAGCTTTGATGTTAACAGGATGGTTTTGAATTCGATGCGGGACGTAAGCCTTATAATTCACAAGTTTAGGGGTTAAACGCAGGCCATTTTGCACGTAACTTTTATTTGGAGTGAAACATCCGTCTGAATAGGACAGATATCCGTGATAAACCAAACAAATACAATGCCAAATTTTTGTTAGCGATGAAAGTGAATGACACTTCAAATTCATAATGGGGCACGGGTAGTAAAAAAGGTGACGCCCCTGGAATAGACATTGAAAAGGTCGTAAATGGGGAAAACACGGGCAACATTTCTTCATGCAATTATGCCCTGTTGCATTAAGGTACTCACACTCCATGTGCCTTAAAATGTGTTTCCGTATACGGTCGGATACGTGAAAAACAAATCTTGACTCAAAACACACCCGGATTCCCCCGGATTTGCAATGATCAGGATAAAGCCGGATACGTTCGAATACGCAGCGTGTCACGAAATATACGGGGTCAAGATATCTCCGGATTCCGAGGTATTTTGCCCAGTGTCACTGACTGTGCTAATCTGTGATGCTACTCGGCGGGCAGGGGGCTGACCTTCTCTCTGGAGTCCTGCAGGCTGCGCAGGTCAGAGGTCAGCACTGCGCTGGTGCTCTGCAGCTCATCCAGCTGCTGCTGCTTCTCCCTCAGTCTGCCCTTCAGCACCTGTTCTCTTCCCCGCAGCTCTTGAATCACGCTGTCCATCTCTTTCGCTTCCTATGTGACACGTACAACCACGAATCACACTCGCCCACGCTTTCACATCCAGCCACAAATATGTGTGAGGCCAAAGAAAGTAACCGACCCATTTACTTTACTGTAAATGTTGATGAGTGATTGTCTCCATCCATTATAAATCCATCATCTCTTCGCTCACAAACTGATACCAAACTGTGGCCATTTTGGCCTGTCCAAAAAGGTCCATTTACAAACCTCAGGACAGTGGGAAGAAATCATCCATTTATCCATCCATTCATCCATCCGACTCCACACAGAATGGCCCCATCTAAGATTTAACCCGGCTGGGATCTCCTCGCTATGAGTTGACTGAGTACTTTTCACAAACCACCTCACTGCCTCGTAGCTGTTCTCAGCCTATTTGAACACTAAGAAGTGATTATGCTGTGAGACAGAGGAGGTATCAATGGGTCCAGGTTAGGACAGAGCAAGTGGGCAGTGGGGCAATGGGAGAGAGAGTGGGTTAGTGTTAAGACCGAGTGAGTGGGTTGTAGACCGCGGGAGAGTCCGTGGGTTTGGGTTAGGACCACTGACTACATATAAAAATGGATGACCTCACAGCACCCTAAAATAGAAGCCAAAACATCTTGATTGCCCCCTGGTGGCTGGCTGCAGTATAGGTTATAAACCCCACCCCCTCCATGCTAACGGACGGGCCACCTTCTGTGTGTTCTGAATCTTCCTCCGCAGGCTCTGCAGAATGCCGTTGAAGTCCGTGTGTGTGGGCTGCCTCCTGTCAGCTCGGGCCTTCACTTTGGCCTGCGTCTCGATGGTCTCCCTCCGGGCCACCGTAGCTTCCATCTCGTTCAGCAGACGCCCCTGCTGCTTCATCAACAGGCCGTACCGCACCTGCATGCGCACACAGGGAGACAAAACTAACTAAACCCTGCAGTGTTGCTACTGCACCGCTGCGCTTTCATATCCCTCCGCCCCAACTGACTGACACGTCATTCTCAATTCTCCCGATCCCCAAAAAA